CTGGAATCCTATCGGTGAACAGGGTACCTTATAAAGCATCACGCCCATTACAGACAGGTAACATCAGAGATGTAAAAATCGGGCTAAGCTTTGTTTCCTCTACCCTTGAGATCAATGCAAGCTGCTGATTTATGACTTCTTGGAGTCCTTCTATTTGGTGCCCCCTTAACTGGCAAATCCTTACTCTCTTTTAAAAATCATCAAAATGCTACCTATTCGGTGATGCCTTAGTTGGAACTTCTGTCTCTAGGCTGAGCACTTTCCATCCACTGTGCTGCCAAATTTCCTTCCCGGCCAGGTCAGACAGACTTGTTTCTCCCTAGGTGTGGGTGTGCAGACGTGGCTAGAAGCCACCTCAGTGAGCCACCTTGTTCATTATCCTGCGCCCCCAGCCACCAGTGCCGCGGCCAATACCCAGGAGGGCCGGAAGATGCTGGCAGGGGGACCAGCAGTAAATCACACGGTACTTCTCCCAGATCCATAGTTGCTGGAGGCAGGAGAGCAGTAATTTAATTCTGTGGGGTTCCGTCACCTAGCCCAAGGCAACAGACATTTATATCAAACTTCTGAGTGTCGTCATCATGTGAGATGCTTAAAGGGCCACCTACATCAGTGTCTCTGTCCATTTAATAGATGAACTTTCTCAAGAGGTTTGAATACCTGTAAGAAATGAAACACTACCTGGAAATGCGGTGGCATTGGATACAATCTTGGTTCACTTTTCAGGGGGACATGAAATTTAACTGCAGATATTTTAATATGCAATATATATTCATAAAATTTTAATCCACAGACCAATTTCAAACTGTTTTTTATTCTTCACATAGGTCTATAAATATCAGCTGTTATACCAATAAAATGGAGGTCACCTTTATGCCTATTATAATTAAAATGACAATCTGTTGGCATTTCTAGTTCCTGGCAAACATTAGTTCTTTGGAGGAGCAGAATAATGCTTGTAACCATGACAACCACAGCACCTTGCTCAAGGAGTACTTACTATTTACCTGTAAGTGTGCTAAATGTTTCCCATGGATCGTTTCATTTAATCCTCACAAAATGACTAAAATGAGGTAATATTACACCCCATTTTACAGAGGGAAGCAATGAGGCCTAAAGGTTACATAATTGATGCAAATTTACACAGTCAGCAGGTTGTACAGCCTGGACTTGACTCTGGGCAGCCAGTTCTTATAAAACAAGCTGGAACACCATATGCCAGGCAGGCAGTAAGTACCTAACACGGATCATCTAAAGTGCTTCTTACAACAACATGCAACGTCACACTACCATCTACATGTTAAAGGGACTTACAAAGGTTACAAAACTGGCCCAAGGCCATGCAATGACTATAAATCCTCTCTCAAGTTCTATAGTAGTCTGCCTCTAACCATAATAAAACCACCTTAACGACATTAACTTGGTGTGGTAGTATCTGAAATATAAAGAACTTCATAGTATTTTTCTAATGATCAGAATCAGAGGTGTTTTTTGTTTTTTCTTCCATACAGGTCTAGATAGTAAATCTTTTTAGCTTAGCGGGCTGTATGGTGTCTACCCCACTCTGCCCCTACAGCATGAACTCGGTCACCGATGGCACGGAAACAGGTGGGGTTGGCTGTGTCTGAACACAGCCCTCTGTTTGGAAAACCCATACGGCCCATGGCCACGGTTTGCGGCCCTTGGTCGTTATGCTCCGTGTGAAATAACAGTAACACGAATATGTGCCTATCGTAAAGGAATGCACTCGTATAAGGGAGCACAGGTTAAACTGAAATAGTGTATCTTTATAAACAAAAAGGTAAAGGTTTGACGTTAGTGTGAGAGAAACACCTGGCTCATCTGGGTCTAAATCCTAACCACTTATCGGCTTTGTCACCATGGGCCATTTTGAAAAAATGTCTCTTGGCCTTCATTGCCTTGACTTTAAATGGGGAAGTAATACTTTTGACACACAGCAGAGTTACAGGGATTAAAAGAGAGAACCACTTCCTTAAAGGGCAAGCGGAGTGGTGATTCTGAAGGCACGAGAAAGCCAGCCCAATCTGCCACGACACAGTACAAAGTGTTTAGCAACCCGCAAGGGCATATGACTATTTGCTGAACAAACATAAGGGAAAAGGCAGAGTTGGGCTGGATGGACCAAACAGGCTAGATTAAATCAAGGATTATGTCATTTATTACAATACCCATGTTTAATCACAGTTTAGAGCTCGCGATTGAGTCAGAAAGTACCCTGATGTTTTGGGTACATGAAGTGTCATCCCTTCTCAAAACACAAAAAATTGGGAGCAAGTGTCTAAATACACTATTGTTTTATTCAAATTGGTATTGGCTTGGTCCATTAGATCAATATCCCAGCTATGTTTTAACAACCGAAACCAATGAACGCTAAAGCCAGACGGATACTGCAGGGTGCTCACGTTCAAGTAATGCCTTTCTCCTCTGGAATCAGTTAGCACTGTTAGAACTGACACCTTCCAGTTTAATGTCATTGATTCTAATACAAAACAGCTGGAAATTGATGACCCTGCCCAAGTATCTTATATTTTCCTTCCCTCTGCCTATTTCTTTCACATTTTAACCGGTTATAAAAGTATTCAGGGTTTTTTTTTTTATGAGGCACATTAAGGTCTCAGATTAGTAGCAATATGTTGGTAATGAAGAAACAATTTTCTTATTAACTAGGGTTGTAAATCACATTTTCTCTCAGGCACTGAAACATTAACACTGAAAACTAGATTATGAGCCACTTCTGATTTTTATTTTAGGCACAGGAGCAGGCCACGTGTAATTAGAATTTTATACCGTGAGCCACTGGCCTTGCTCTTCGCCAGGGGAGCCCCGTAACTCCCCTCCCACGCCAGCGAAGGAAGAAAATGGGCTCTGTGGCCCCGTCCGTGTTACCACCCAACACTTGTTCCTTACTGGAGGTAGTTGGGAACCCAGGACATGCTTTGACATGGACACAGTATACTATAATACGGTTCTCCTCTTAGGTCTCCTTTCCAAGAATGACTTGCCTCAATTACATTACAGGTTTTGTCCACCTCAGGAGTCTTAGCTGGGGGTGGGTGAATTCCCACTGAAGGCTCTTCTATTTCTGCTATTAACGATTGATGCCTCTCAGTTCCAAGGTATAAGCTCTTAGAAGTTTGTTTTTATTCTCTTCTTGCCACCAATATTTATTCTCTTGAGCCACCAAAACAGTGGCTCAGCCATGGCTGGCGTAGATCAGTGGATTGAGCTCGGGCTGCGAACCAAAGTGTGTCAGGTTCAATTCCCAGTCAGGGTACATGCCTGGGTTGCAGGCAATGACCCCCAGCAACCGCACATTGATGTTTCTCTCTCTCTCTTTCTCCCTCCCTTTCCTCTCTAAAAATAAAAAAATTAAAAAAAATCTAAAAAAAAAAACCAATAGTGGCTCAAAGGGACATCTACTTACGTGTATATCTACTTGCACAAGCACTAATGTGGTCACCAACTGGGAATGATAAACAGTCCATCTTGAACTATATATCTTCCTTTTTAAAAAGAATATGCAACACTTAACAATGTTTTCAGCTAACTCTGAGTGTTCGTCACAGAACCATGTCAGTTGTAAAAGCTATGAGTTACAGAAATGCAAAATCTCAAAAACACTCTGTTGAGTAAAAGAAGCCAAACACCAAAAGACCATGCATAATCCCACTTATGCTAAATGTCTAGAAAAGGCAAATCTGTAGAGACATAAAACAGAGAGTTGCTGCTTAGGGCTGGTGGTGAGAACAAGGATTAACTATGAATAGGTGTGAGGGATCTTACTAAGGTGATGAAAATGTTCCGAGACTGGATTATTTATGGTGATGGCTGCACAAGTAGTAAATTTATTAAAGCCACTGAACAGCATGCTTATACACGTCAAATAAGTGAATTCCATATGAAAATTATGCCTCAATAAAGTCATAAAATACAATGAAGAGAAGAGACTACAGTGATCATTAGGAATCTCTCTGAGGCTGAGAAAAGCATCCCATATTAAGCTCCAAAATATAACAACAGAGTTGGAATAATTTTACCTTAATAAAAAGTGACAGGAAGACTTACACTGTTGTAACATTTGTGGGTAGACATTATAAGTATCTGTGGTACACTGAACCTCAATAACTCCCTCCATATTCATTTGATCTAATTACAGGACTTTTATACTATCTGTAAAACATATAACCAGTCTTTAGGAAACTCAGCCCAAGAGTTCACTAGTTGCTATAATAATATTTCATTGTTTACTGAAAACTCGATGCTTGCCTTTACTTCATTGAGACAAAAAGGAAGTCTTTTAGTTCATTCAGCTCACATCATTCCCAGTAGGAACATTCATTAAACAGAAAGACAAAGTCAACCTCTCCAAGAAGGCGCTGTTACTTCCCAATAAAATGAAGACACCACAAATCAACCAAGTTAAATTTCACAGCAAAAAATAACGTGATACTCACCACATATCCCGTTCCGTCTTTAATGAAATCTGATTGCGACTACTCACTCAACTAAGACTGATTGAAAATGTTCTACAAGCTGGGCACTCACTCTTCTGCCTGTTACTAGGTAAAATCCAGTCCTTGCCCTCAAGGAGCTCAGAGCCTAGGTGGTGAAAGGGGGGACAGACCACCGAGGGCACCTACACCCCCTGCCAGGGGAACACCAAGGGGGCCAGCCAACTCACAGCCTCTGTCACAGGACACAACTCTGGGCTAAATGGTGTGGCTGAAGAGCAAGCCAGGACCCACCAAGCAGCATGGGCAAGGTACAGGACAAGCTGCCTTATCAGGACCTCGCCTTCTTTGCAATGGACTGGCGGGTTGCTCCCCGTTAACCACAAAGAGTTCAACGAGCAGAAGACTTGTTTTGAATTTCAGTTTTGTTTGGGAAGACAGTGGTAACAGACTGGATAGCAATTTCACACTTTGCTAGGATGTCTTCCTTTTCCCCGAGAAACGGAATCCCAGGAAACAGTGCATTACCTCGGACCACCTCTTCCACGGACTCCGTGGTGGTGGTGGTGGTCGTGGCGATGCTGGTGGTTCTCTCCGTGGTCTCTTCATAGGGTTCCTCGGCATCTTCCTCGGCCTCTTCACCGTCCTCGTCGTCCTCGTCATCCTCGGCATCTTCTTCCTCGACCTCAGCCACTTCCTCCTCCTCCGTTACTTCCACGACTTTGTCTTCACTGGAGCAGGAAAGAGACGTAACAGTAACAGTTATTTAAACAAATGTCAGCAAAGAAAAAAGTCAACGACAGGAATTTTGGAAATTTGAGAACACACACGAGGCCCTGCCAGGTGACTAGGTTGGAGAGAGTGCCATCCTTACAAGTCACAACTGAGGGTTCGATTTCTGCTTGGGGCACATACAAGAGTCAACCAATGAATACATAAGTGAGTAGAACAACAAATCAATCAATCAATCTCTCTCTCTCTCTCTCTGCGTCTCTCTCTCTCTCTTGCTCTCTCTTTCTCTCTCTAAAAAGCAATTTACAAACTCCTTTAAAAACACGTATGAAGCCAGAAGGTCAAAGTATGATCCCAGCAGAGTAGGTCCGTAACTTTTTAACCCTTGCCCACAACTGTGCTTAGTTTATGTGGCTACAGAACAAGGAGACCATGATTCCAACTCTCTAACATTCTGAGAAAGGCAAAATTATGGAGACCATCATTGGCCGGGGGCACAGGGTGGGAAAGGCGGGGTAAAGAGGCAGAGCTCAGGGCTTTTTAGGGCAGTTTATCACTCTGTCAACTGCTCTAACGGGGGACCCACAACATCATGCATGTGTCAAAACTGACAGAGCACGGAAAGTGGACTCGAACGTGAACTATGAGCTTTAGTTAACAAGAACGTGTCAATACTGGACCCAAAGCACTGCAGAATGCAGAATGTTAATAGTGGAAATGCGGGGTGGGGGCCAGTGAAGAGCGAGTAGAGGGGAACTCTCTGCTCCCTGCTTAATTTGTCTATAAACCTAAAAATTCTGTTAAAAAAAGTCTATTAAATGCGAGGGAGGGAGTACCGGGTGGAGTTAGTTGTGTTATAGGGATGATTTCTCATAATGTGTATGAAAACACCACACAGCATCTGCATGGTAAGTGCTCAGGAAGTGTAGATAGAAACCGATTCAAATGTGGCTATTGAAAGTTTAAACTAGAAATGATGGGGAAAGGAGAAGCTGGCTTAAATAAATCTGTAATACCCAGTGCCTACTGAAGGAATAACTGTGTTTCTTAGTGGTGTGAATTGTGCTCCTTGCAGGCTCTCAGGTTTTTACTGGTTTGTACTGGTTTGTACATTTTTACTGGTTTGTACATTTCTCTGAGTATCAGAATCACCTGGAAAGCTTACTAAAACACAGACCCATAGCACTGTGCCCATAGTTTCTGATTCCGGAGTCTGGGATGTGGCCTGAGAATCTGCGTTTCTAACAAGCTCCCAGGTGATGCTGATGCTGGTGGCCAGCGAGCAATGTTCTGAGAACCACTGGAATATGCAATCCCGGGGACAACACTGAGTCAGTCACAGTATACTCGGGGAGGGGACCAGCAATAATATTTATGGCACTAAATATATGTTTATCGTGATGTATTGTGGTGAGTCATAAACCAGCAAATTCAGGTGGCAAAAGAAAGGCGTGTCTGTAACCACATGACAAAGTCTGAGTGCGGTGTCCTCGTGGCGATCACGCCCCTGCCGGTGCACACACGGTCAAGAGCACGTGAACGATGGTAAATTAGACAGGAATGTGAGTGGTAAACGGCAGAAATCTATCACACACCATGTGGCCAGACAGGAGCCATAGATGGTTCCTCTTCAGTCAGATGAGGAAACCAATCCGGGAAAGAGATGTGGATGGAGGTGGTGGAGGACTTCGGCACAGCGGAGCATCTGCCCTGGGTCTGGCTGGACAGGAAGCACACAGGACAGGACTGTGGGCTGCCATCTGACATGTGAATGTCCCCAGAGAAAAGACACAGCAGAGGAGAAAGACTAGCCCAGTGCTGACTGAGGGGAGGCATACGGATGAGGAAGGGGGAGGAGCAGGAAGAGTTTGTGTCAGACACAACCCGGAGCCTGGAATACTCGTGTGAGTTCGGCATGGCACAGAAAATTAGACTTCAAATGAACTGGGGAAAAAGAACAGGTTTCTATGCTCTAGGAAGACAGAAAGGAAGATGGAGAAAGTCTTTCAAAAAGTGAAAGTCTTGCCCTGACTGGTGGTGGCTCGGTGGATTGAGTGCCAGCTTTGGAACCTAAGGGTCGCTGGTTTGATTCCCAGTCAGGGCACATGCCTGGGTTGGGGGCCAGGTCCCCTGAGGGAAGCACGCAAGGGGCAACCACACATTGATGTTTCTCTCCCTCTCTTTCTCCCTCCCTTCTCCCTCTCTAAAAATAAATAAACAAAAGTAAAAAAAAAACAAAAAACCCACAAAAACCTGAAAGTCTGATAGAACACCCCTCAACCAATTTTACTAAGGGTAAAAAAGGAAAAGATATGGGCAGGGTTATAGCACAAAGTGGAATTTCCTTACTAACTCAGAATTTAAAGAACTTTTGTATATGAAAGGTCAATAAAATATGTATGGTCCCTGTGGAGTGCCTTTCTAATTCTGGTTACATAAATATGATGCAAGGGATAATAAACAAACACATGCAAAGAAGGCAAAGCGTGTGTCTAAAAAACGAGTAAGGAGAAACTTATTAAACCCAGTAACATTAATGAACTATTAGTGCATTAATAAATGAAGTGTCAATACAGAAGACCTTAATAAATTACTTTAGCATTTCCTACACCACGGAAACCTGTTCTCTTTCCCTAACACGTCTGAACTCTGATTGCCACCAGACACAGGTAAGCAAAGAGGAGAAGAAAACACTGGCATCGATCACCAGATGGTATAAGCCTTCACTCTCTTTAGAGACGGGGTGCAAATCACTGATGTCTTGCCGGCCTACACAAAAAGCCTACCACCACTGCAAGCAACATCTCAAAAGAATCCTGAACTTAACGGTTGCGGAGATGTCCCAAATTTCACCCAGGGTACTTCTGTCTCACCGTTGTCGTATGGAATCTCAACGTCATACTACTTGTGCATAAAGATAACCCACGCACGGCATGCTTGTGTGTGAGGTCTCTTTTGTAGTCAGTGAAATCATAAACACCAGTGCTGGTTAGTTCTCCAAATTCAGTGAAAAGTCTGGATAAAACCAGTGAGAAAAATGAAATGAAACCAGTATTCTTCCTACACCACGAAGTGTGCGCATGTCTTTGAAGCATGAATATAGTGACAGGCAAGGCTGGGACCCTGGGCTAAGTCACCCATGTGCTTCCGGGTGGGAAGGGGAGAACAACACCCTGGGTACCCCCGGAACCTCCCTCAATCTTTTCATGTATGACCTGAATATCGTACTTGAAGTTCCTAACGGAAGACACGCTTACTAAAACGGCTGTGTTAACGTGACCAGCACTCTGGTATGCGTGTAGCCACGAACAAGATCGAAAGAGTGTATGCCCGTCTCCATCACTACATCTGCCCGAGCAATTTACTGGCACGATAACAAGGAACAGAGACACATAATAATAGTTCCACTGTCAGAGGAATTAAATCACTAAGCCTAAGAGAACGCAGGTCCAGTTCTTATTACCATCGCGTTGATTTCTGGAATTAAATTCAGATGTCCATGAATCCAGTTATCTGTTCGAACCCTATGAAGACTGTAGCACAAAGATATGTTTTAATGCCAAACATGCCGGCATTGCAGCTGCCCGTCGGAGTTTTCATAAACAGCAGGGAAGACAGAAAGGGGGAAAATTACTTTTGCCACCTTCTCTTCAGTGGCTGGAAAGCTTTGTTCTGTGTGGGCCTGAGGTGAGTCTGTTCTGGAAAAGCTGCTCGCAGCGCCAGAAAACGAAGACAAGGGGCCCGTGTACGGATGCCGGGCTGCGTGTCAGAAAGCGATCTCTTTATAAACAACCCAACGACTCACAGGAAAAGAATCCCTTGGGAATACAGGAGCCCATTCCGATCACATTCCCACATTCTGACCTCTGTCAATTTGCAGTAGATGGCCTCTCCAACTTTTAAATTCCAATCATGAGAAACGATTCCAACGGACGAGGGAACCATTTCTAAAGGAGGAGGGGTGTCTGAAAATGCTGACCATCTCAGAAGTATCTGAGTTTAATAAGGAGGCGAAAGGGTCAAAGGGACATTACCAAGAGGAAATAAATCACTGATAATAAAAGTCTGTGTGTCAGCAGGTGAGACTTCAGGTGGTGAAAGACCCACTCTATCACAAAGGTGACTCTCCTTGTATTCCTAAATAAGGTCTGACCTTGCTAGAACTTCCTTGATGTTCCCTTTAGATAGTGAAAGATTTTTGTCACATACCAGTTTTAATTGCTTTTTGTTTAAGTCACACAACACAATTCGCCCTGCCCTTTGCATTCCGTAAAAAGACTGTCTCCTTTCATAGCCTCTGGAAAGACTGATGTTTCTTTCTTCCCCTTTGTAGGACAAAGGAGAGGAAATGGCCCAGCGAAAGCTCTGACTCCTGTGGTTCCTGTGAATTGGACAATCAGGAGACCTAACCACCTGCGGTGAGGAGGGACCGTGAAAATGCAACAGCTGTCTGGGCCCCCCAGGTGTGAGGACCAACCACGGAAAGCCAGAGGGCAGGTGTCAACGGGAAGATGCTCAGACACTCACTCCTGTGTTGATGGAGAAAGGGGAACGTCACCCAGCGTCGGGAGTAGAGACAAAAGAAAGCACTTTTTAAAAAAAGGTGAACAGGCAGCTCTCACCTTCTCTGCCCCAATTCTAACAGCGGCCCGTTTAACCTGGATGGTGCAAGGCTTGAGTAAGTCATTGTATCCCAGATGAATTGCTGTTGTTAAATTGAGAAAACTACATGTTGCCAGAATATGTGAGAAAACATAAAAGAAGCTTATTCTCTAGTGTATCAAGATGGGGAGAGCTAAGCAAAAACCAAACCAACCAACCAACCAACCAACCAACCAACCAGCCAATGGAACAAACAACCCGGTACGTCTCCCCATGAAAGGCCTCTTTGGAAGTCACACACACATGGGGACACACCGTCTGATTCTATTTGTATCAACTTTGAAAACAGGCATTCCTCCGTGCTGATAGCGCTCACAGGAGTGTTACACTTTGGCGA